TCACGCACTCTATCCTTGCCGGCAGACTCTATAGTTCAAACCCTAACCAATAACCGGCAAGGATAGGAGTGTGTGTGTGTGTGTGTGTGTGTGTGTGTGTGTGTGTGTGTGTGTGTGTGTGCGTGTGTCTGTTTGTGTGTGTCTGTTTGTGTGTGTGTGTGTGTGTGTGTGTGTGTGCGCATGCATGTGTGCATGCATGTGTTATAACTGAGAAAGTGGTCAAGTTCACTCACACCAACTCTGCAGCTGGCTGTCGATGAAAACACCAAACAAGAATGAGAGTATCTCTGAGAAACTAGTCTGTCACAGCCATAAAACCGGGTTTGGCACACTGCTATGTCCACATGCACGACTGCTACACACCGTATTTGGCAGACTGCTATGTCCACATGCATGACTGCTACACGCCGGATTTGGCAGACTGCTATGTCCACATGCATGACTGCTACACACCGGATTTGGCACACTGCTATGTCCACATGCATGACTGCTACACACCGGATTTGGCAGACTGCTATGTCCACATGCATGACTNTGACTGCTACACACCGGATTTGGCACACTGCTATGTCCACATGCATGACTGCTACACACCGGATTTGGCAGACTGCTATGTCCACATGCATGACTACTACAGCTCTTAGCAAGGAGGTGTTGTGTGTTGTCATGTCCGTTGTACACGACTGCACAAAAGAAAACTTGACTGTTGCAGCTTGTTCCATCGCACTTTCATAGACTCATCAGGAAAAATTGAGCCCCACGTGTGCAAGCCACTTTTGTGACGCGAGGTGGAATGGAGATGGGAGTGGATTCGTTTTGCAAGACGAGTAATTGTTTCAAAAAGACACAACGAAGGCGAGACAGCTCAATTGCGATTTTCTTTTTCAGGATGGTTGCTGACATGTTCATCAACATCACAACCGAAGAAACACACTACTAGGGAAGGATGATGAGTAGGGGAGAGAAGCATTGACGAAAAGCGTTATTGGCCAATAGCAACCGGAGAAATCAGAGCAGGGTGTGTTCACTGTGGCAGAAATATTGTTGTTGAATACTTCAAGCAGCAAGAGGAATCAAAAGAGGATGCAAAGTGCAGCAGAAGCATGAGAGAGAGAGAGAGAGAGAGAGAGAGAGAGAGAGAGAGAGAGAGAGAGAGAGAGAGAGAGAGAGAGAGAGAGAGAGAGAGAGAGA